TGCCCTGTCCTTGGCTTTCTGCTCCAGCCACTGGGATAATCTTGGGCAGGGACACTCTGCTGATCCACCTCCGGTCCTCTACCTGCACTTGGCCCAGCATTTACTGTCTCACATTGTCACCTGCTTAGGGAGGCATTAACATTACTAAGCCAGAGCTCTTGGTGCACTCAGTTTCTTCCCAGTGCTGCACTTGCTGTTGGAAGGGAACAAGAGTGTCCAAACCTCTCCCTGAAAGCCAAAACTGGGGAGACAGAAAGCTCTGGAACTGTCTGTATCAACATCCCACTAGGCTGGACCTGGGATGCGATTTCTCCAGGCAGATTTATTTCAGCTGTCCTGCTTTCCTTAGGGCTTGTGAGTTCCCCCAGGATATTTTCCGCCCGTGTCCAACCCAGAGATCAACTGGCCTTTATTTGGTTTGGAGAAGAAAAGTAAAAGAAGATAAACTGGGTGCAGGTGGTGCAGAACAGCCATACAGCAGTTTAATTAATTACCTTTAAATGTGAATTCAGAATAGTTTCCCTGGGTGATCTTATATAGGCAAATCCTGAGTTGTCTTAAGCCACTTGCAGAGCACGTTCAACTAATAAGGTATTCTTAGTGCTGACCAGGAGCCTTGCACAGGACAGTAATCAGGAATGATTAATTGGAAATAGCTCTTCTAAACCAGGCTGTACCTGCTGTGCTCTCCTGTCCTGCCCAGCTCTGCCTGGAGCTGACACGGAGCCATCAGGATCAGTGGGGAAGGGACTTCACTTGTGATGTGCCACTTCCTCAGCCACAAACCACCCTCCCAGCCCTCCTCCCAGTGCTCCCCAGCTCAAACTGGCATGGAGGGTTGCCAGCAGAGCGTTTGGATTTGCCAACAGACTTCCCTGGGGAAGAACGGGATGTGGGAGGTCCTGGTGGGAATTTATTAGCTCGGCTCAGCCACAGCCCTGGCAGACTCGGAGAGCTATTGCACTGCATATCCCACCCTCAGCAAAACAGCAAACCCTGCCTCCTGCCTCCAAAACTGCTGAGGGATCAGCAGCCCCACTAAGAGAGTTACTTTGTGAAGCTTTGCCTAAATCACAGCGAAATACATCATAGAATCACAGAATGGTTTGGGTTGGAAGATCATCTCGTTCTAGCCACTTGCCATGAGCAGGGACACCTTCCACTAGACCAGGTTGCTCCAATCCCAGTCCAACCCGGCCTTGAGCTCTTCCAGGGATAGGAAATCCTAGAGAACTCATTCCTGCTCAGGCACGACCTCATGTGACAGCAGCTTCTGTCCTTGAGTCCCCTGTTCTCCTCCTTCAGCTAAAATAATCCCACAGTGTCCGTGTGCCTCCTACATGCCAGGTTTGACCTCAGGCCAGTGAAACTTTCAGAGGTCTCTTTTTGCTTTCAGCACATCCTCGACTATTTCCCTTCTTCATTCCCCCCCTGCAGCAGCAGCCTTTGAGCAGTAATTCCGCAGGGAATACCTGCTGCAGCCAGAGGTGGCTGGGAGGGAGCACAGAGGATGAAATCCGTGTTAATGGGCTCTGCTGGAGTGGCTGAACCTGCTGTGGGAGAGTTTTACTTTCCCGAAGTCGAGGCTTGGGGAACTTGCTCCTCAAATGATGCTTTAAATAATACCCAGTAATGCCACAGAGGAGACAGTTCCCTGCTGGAAAGCGCATTTCGCTCGGTGTCAGCAGTTCAGAAGAAACCCATCTGCAGGAAATTACGATGACAATTTCCTCTGTGTGGGGGGAGGAATTACAGCTGTAATCCAGCAGGCAGACAACAGCCTCCTCTCCTCTCTCTCATACCAGTTACTCTTAAAAACTTGAAACCGTGTGTCCATACAGAGATGTCTCTACCCCACCCAGGAAGGGCAGGCTGGAAGAAATGATGCGGTGCAGGGAGGGAACAGCTCAGCATTTGAGGACCAAACAAGTGTGTATTTTGGAAGAAACCTTTTCAATAAGAAACAGACTGAGAAAACTCAGTTGCAAAAAGCTGCAGGACCACAACTCTCAATGTGTGCAAGATGGTTTTTCTGGGGCCAAAACTGGCCTTGAAGGCTGAGACGGTTCATAAACGTGTGAAGATAACATTCCTCAGAGGAAAGAAATAAAAACCTGAGTAGAAAATGTGCCCGTGGGACACCTTTTGCAAGCCAGGTCTTGGTAAGGTCACACCAGGAGGTCAAGGGATCACTCAAGGTACACAGGATGACATTTATATGGTCAGCTGGTAACAGGACAAGGGAGAATGGTTTTAAACTAAAAGAGGAGAGATTTAGATTTGATGTTAGGAAGGAATTCTTTACTCAGAGAGTGATGAGGCCTTGGCACAGGTTGCCCAGAGAAGCTGTGGCTGCCCCATCCCTGGAAGTATTCAAGTCCAGCTTGGATGGGGCTTGGAGCAACCTGGGATAGTAGAAGGTGTCCCTGCCTGAGGCAGGGGGTGGAACAAGATGATCCTTAAGGCCCCTCCCAACCCAAACCATTTTATAATTCTGTGGTTCTGTGGTCCCAGCAGAGATGGACCCAGCCTGTGTCTGAATTCACAACCTTTTCTGTGAGGTTCTGCCATCAATCTGTTGGCTGAGAAGACCTTTCCCCATCACCAGCTGCCTTAGCAGTTGTCAGCATCTTCCTGCTTCTCCCAGCGCTGCTGCTGGAGCTGACGGGAGTTTGATTATGATTTAATCCAGGCTTTTAGAGGAGGGAAAAAAGAAAGTTTTGACAGTTCCATATTTAGCCCTCTGACTCACCGATTTCATGTGTCGAACACTAAAGACGGGTTAAGTAGAATTAAGTTCTGGATTTATTATAAATAGGCATTAAGTAACACGAATGTACTGCATTTGCATGAAAATACGGGCCTGATTCTCTAATTTACCCCAGAGATTTTGTTTGACGTCGATGGGACGCTCCCAGGTGGGAGCTCAGATCAGAGCCAGCCCAGCTCTGACCATCATCTGCTGCCACCGGGAACTGGACCCAGGGAAATCTCTGCTGAAACTGGGAAGGATTTGCACTGCTTGCAGAGATCAGGATTTGACCCTTAAAATAGTACAAGTAGTTTTAATTACCCCCCAGATCTGCAGCTGAAAGAATAATTTCTCCGTGTCAATCAGTGCTAAATGTACCTGTTAAATTAGGGAAGATGGGTTAAGATGAAAATTGCACAAAAAGTCACTTTTCTCCTGTTTCTCCCAGAAGTTGGTAGATTTGTTGGATTCAGATCTTACGGACGATCTCGTCCTGCTCTGATTACCTTCTGCTTAAAGGTCCATCCAGACAATGAAGTCACCCCCACTCAGAGCAAGCCTGACAGTCGGGCATTGTTTGGGTGAGAACAGCCCTCTTTAGCGAAATCAATGCTTCTGCAAGGAGGGTGACAGACACAGACTCTACCAAATCAGAGCCCTCCTCAATAGCTTAATTTACTGACTTGTTCTAGCTAAACAATTGAGAATTGGTCCGTGGAGAAGGACACAAAAAGGGACGGACAATGTGGGCTGTATTTTGAGGCTGGACTAGTCCAAGCCGAGGAAAAACAGGCTTTCAAGCCACCCAGTGGCATTGTTTCTGGAAAAATGATGTTCACCCCTGCACCTTTACCCTTATTCAGAAGTGGAGGCTTGGCCCTGTTTCTGCTGAGGGTGAGGGAAAGGGATGAGCAGCATAAACAGCCAAGGGCCACCAGGACTGAGTGACAACCTCAGCCCTGGAGAGCTTGCTCTTATCATCCCATGGAGCTGTTGTTCATGCAGGAACAGCACGAAAAGCTCCAGGAGCTTCTCCTGGCCCTGGCAGGACCCTCAGGCTCCAGAGCCTTCCCAGCATCATTCTGCCCTTGGTTGTGATTTTTCTTATCAAACACCACATTCTGCTCCCTGCTATGAAAATAATTTCCAATTAAATGCCTCCTCAGAGCCTATCTGGCTGGGAATTAGCCTGGCACTTGGTGGCTGGGTTGTTAGCTCATCAAAGTCTCTGGGATGAGGGGAGGTGCTGCCTTGGGAGGGATGTGCTGGTGGAGGATTTTGCTCGTGGCTTTGAACTCGCCACAGCCCTGCAAACTGGGACACGGGTGCCCTTTGCTCACCTTCAGCACTTCTCTGTTCCCCTTCACCCCACAGCTGAGTAAGCAACTCCAGGGCTACAAAACACAGCCCTGTGGCAGCTTGCTGTGCTCCAGCCCTCCAGGAATCACGGTGTTTGAGTCCCTGGGAAGGAGCCGGCCACGCGCTCCAGCTTAGAGGGAATGGATTATCACGGCTCTCGTGACTCAGTCCATGGGTCCCATGTGCTCCCCTGCATGGAAGGGAGAGAAGCAGGCATGAAGCCTCAGGCATGGCCCCTAATCAGCTGCTCTCTGTCCCCAGGGACCTTCCCTGGGCTGGCAGTGCCAACCATTGCTCTCTCCTGACAGTGGGCACCTCGAGGAGGTCTGGATGATGAGGGTGACAACAACAGGGTGGTGATTGTTGCCTCTTCATGAGCAGAACAGATGAAAACCAGGAAGCTCAGAAAGCTGGATGTGGAGCTGGGAGGTATGGGGAGGGAACAGCAGCTGTGACCCCAAAGTGCTGCTGGGGATGGTGAACCCCTGGATGCTCCTGTTGGAGCAAAGAGGTTCAAAGTTCCAGGTTGTGGGTCAGTTTGAACACTGTAAAGAGGAGAACTGGTAAAATGACAGTTGTGAAGCCAGAGAGATATCAGAGCATGTGGTTCAGGGCTGGTTTTGGGGCATGGAAATCCCTTTGGTCCGTGTAATGTGGGGTCCCAGCAACTCCTTGCTGCATCCTTCTTAGTGATCCTTGGAGCCCCATCCACATTCCATTGTGATGATGCTGCTATGGCAACCAGGCCAGTGATTGTTCCACAGGGTATGGGACAGTGCAGGGCACAGGATGGGGCTGGGATCGGTCCCCTTCTAGGTTCTCACCTCTCCTGAGCTTCCCACTGGAGACAGGGGTTGTTCTTTGGGAACACGCAGCTGCCATCACAGTGCCGTGTCCTGGCTGGAGAGGAGCTGCAGTACCCGGGGGGGCTGAGCAGTGTTGTGGGGCTCAGGGGGACCCAGGGGGCTGCAGTGTGGCTGCTGGGGACCAGCTCTGGTGTTAGGGATGTGGGATCTGCTCTAGAGCCCTCCCTGGCAGCAGTGGGATGGGGTGGGGGGGATGAATCCAGATGTCCTTCAGGAATTCTGCCCGCTGGCACAGGGTGGGGGGGACTGACCTCACTGGAATTTCTATGGAAACCCAGGTACTGAACAGGGTGGAATAGCTCAAACCATCTGTTCCTCCCCTACTTGTAAACTCGATCAGTTCACGATGACATCACCAAAAATGCTCTCCTTTTATTCCTCTCGCAGCCATCTGTGATGGTTTCCTCCTGTGCCAAACATGCGAGCGGGTGCTGAGGGATGGGCAGGAGGACACAACCACCCCACTACTCCCGTTTCATTCTTTTCCCTTGGACAGCTACCCCTGTGGAGTCTCCTTTGTCCCCTTCCTGAGGCGTCTACAGAGTAACCCGCAGAGTTAGGCAGGAAAAATGAAGAGCTCAAAGGTAAAAATGAAGCACAAACTAAAGTTGAACTTCGCAGGGACTGCAGAAGATCTGCCATAGGGATCTTACCCGTGGGAATACAGGGCCAGCAGTGGGGAGCCAGCCTTGCTTCTGCCAGCAAGGTGCTGGGTTGCAATGGGGCTGTTTCAAACCTGCCCTCCTGTAGCAGGGATGAGGCCACGGCCTGAGTTTGGGTGTTGGGAGAGGCAGCTTTGGGCAATATGGGTCAGCTGAGGACACAGGTGGTGGTGGATCTGACTGCCACAGCTTCAGTGCTCACCTGTTGGGCAGGTTCTCAGTAGAAGTCACCTTCCCACATCCAGGGATGGGAGCACTCCTGCTCCACTTGTGGGCAAGGTCACCTCCATGTCCACAGCACCAGTGGGTTTGGTTCTGACTGACATGGTCCTTGCAGTGTGACAAAACAGGTGACAACCTGCGATCCCCTGCCCTCCCTGGTGGTGGAGGTGTGTCCAGGAGCTGAGGTTTCAGGTGGTGATGAGTATCTCAGGTGCCAGAGAAGAGCTGGGGCTGGTGATGCCATTGACCCACTCCCCCACGTGCTGGCTGCCAGTGCTGGCTGTGTTTGCTCGAATGACCAAACCCTCCCTCTCTGTGACAGCGGAGAAAACCCTCCAAGAGCCAGGACCTTTCAGAACTCTCTGAGCATGAGAAGGAGAGAAGGACTAAAATGGAGATCAGGAAACTGCAGACACAGTATCATCACACAGCGTGCAAGAGGAAATTTTACGATGCCGAGATCTGGCGGCAAATCCAGGCTCAGCAGTGAGTGCAGATCCACAGGCCATGGTTCATTTGGGAAGCTCCTCCATGAGCTGCAGAATCACACAAGAGTTTGGGCTGGAAGGGACCTTAAGGCTCAGCCAGTTCCACCCCCTGCCATGGGCAGGGACACTTTAGATCAGGTTGCTCCAAGCCCCATCCAACCTGGCCTTGGACACTTTCAGGGATGGGGCAGCCACAGCTTCTCTGGACAACCTGTGCCACCCTCATTCTTAGCACTTCCTCCTAAATATAATCTAAATTTCTCCTCTCTCAGTTTAAAACCATTCACTCTTGCCACTATCTGACTGTGTGAAAAGTTGCTCTCTCTTTTTTATAGAGAGATGATGGGGACCACAGTGGTGAGATGGGGAGGGGGAAGGACCTGCCCTGGCCTTGCAGCTGGGATGTGCTAAATGTTATTTGTCGTTCCATTTTTACAGAAAAGCAATAGATGATCTGAATCAAGAACACAGACACGTGTCATTAATGCTGAGCCAGATCTATTCCCCAAAGAATGTGATGCTGGAAAACAGAAATCGTATGAAGGTCGAAACCACTTTTCAGATCAAAAATCAGAACGAGGCCATGATCAAAGAGAGAAAAGCCCTTTTAGCTGACCTGAGCAAGCAGGTGAGAGCACCTGGACCATTCCCTGGCTGAAACTCCTCAGTGTAAAACACATTTAATTCAGGCCTTGGAATATTCCTCCTGGCAAATGACACACGATAGTGACAAGTGGGTAGAGCCAGACTCCCATTCAAGTCAGAAGCACTGACTGGAAAAGTAAGGCCAGCCTCTAAAACTGGTTGTCCCACCAGTGCTTGCAGCCCCTCTGGGATGGTACATACCTGCCTGGTGTCACACAACATCCCTCTGCTTCTCCCTTCACTTTTTTTATTGTCCTGAAAAAGGTAAAAATGGAACGTGTGTGTTGTTGAGATGTGACAAATAGAGCTGAGGGATGAGGACCTGAGGGATGTCCCATCCTTTCTCCTGAGGACATCCTGGTTGGATTTGGGCAGCAGTGGGGTAGGAGGCCAAGGGAAAAGTGGGGCTATGGAAGGGACAGGGCCCTTCAGCCTTCTGCTTTGAGCCAGCTGCCCGTGATGGAAGACAAGGAACATGCTTGGATAGTTTGCAGTTGCCGGAGGTGCTGCAGAGCTTTCCCAACAGGGTCAGCTTTCACTCAGGGATCTCTTGGCTCAGTCATACCTCCCCAACCTGCCCCTTCTTCGCTGTTCTCCAACCACTTCATTCTTCCCATGGATTTATTTGCTCTGACAGCTTCCCACTTCTGGCAAAATTTTCCTCTGCTGATTCCCAGGGAGAACCCCACAAATCCCCGCCTGGCCAGCACACTACCCCAACCGAAACCCCATCCTCGTTGCCTCTTCCACCCCACAGAGTGCTGCTGTGCTGTGCTCAACACCTGCTGGAGTTCCCTCCAGAGGCAGCTGCACTTTCTTCATGACACAAAAATAAACCCATTCCCAGTTACAGTTTATGTTTCTGCACGTGCAGGATGGGATCCTTTGGGATAAAAGCTGCTTCTATATGTGTGAGCTCATTAATGACATGGTTGCTGCAGTTCAGGGCAGCAGAGGGTATTTTCTTTGGCTGCATGTCCTGACAAGAATCCAGAATGTAGGGGTGGAGATTATACTTCCTTTTTTTTTTTTTTTTCCCCCACTCTGTGTGTGTACAGGTGAGAGAGTGGGAAAGACACATTACAAAGCAGAGAGAGATAACAGCGAAGGCACTGGAAGCGAGGAATCACAAACGGCTGCAGGAGAAGGTCGATGGAATGGAGTTCCGGCTTAACCGAGTAAGCAAACATTTTGGAGACCTTTGTGAGGCCACAGAGGGGCCTGGGACCTTCTTGGTCGGGACACAGCGCAGTGGTGCAAATGTCTGTGGTCAGCACAAACTGCATAAAGCACCAGTCTGGTTCCCCTGGCCTGATTGCTCCCAGAATATCTCAAAGGCTCCTTCAAGCTTGGTGACCCAAAAGCAGGGCCTGTGCTGTGCCAAGAGGCCTGAAGGTCTGCACCTGTTTAGTGATCAAACCAAGCTGCCTGGAGCCACCTTGCCTTGGACAACGCCAGCTCCAGGTGTCTGTTGTGATTGCCCTGATCCTCTGTTGCTTTTCCTCTCTTGGGGAGGAGGACAGTGCAAGGCGAACTTCAAATCTCCTGGGCTGTGTTTGTCCCTGCCCTAGTCAAGGTCTTCAAGCAGAGACGTGAGCCCCTTAATCTCCCACCAGTCCCAAACCTTTTGCTCCGCTCTCCCCAGGCCACTGTGCGTTACAACACTATCCTGACCCGAAACAACGAGCTCCGGGAGGAGACCCGGAGCCTGACAATCCAGAAAGCTGTTTTTGACAAGTACTACTGGAAGTACGAAAGGCAGCTGACTCAGCAGAATAGGGAGCTGAACGTTGCTATTGAACTCGCCACAGAAGACTACGAGCAGCTGTACGTGGTCCTGCCAGCCCTGCGGGGAAAACTTGGTGCTGAGGGGCAGTGCCAGCGATGAGTATCGATGTTTAGAGGCCAGCTGTGCCTTCAGAGAGAGGAGCTGCTGCTCTCATCCAGAGCTGCCTGCTGAGGGTTGGGTACCTGGTCAGCGCAGGGAGATTGGTACTTCCAAGGTGTTTTATTCCACCTATTGCAGATATTTCTCAGGATGGGGTGAATTGTCTCTTCCTTCTGAGTCCCACCTGAGCTGGGCAAGATGCCCGAGTGCCAAACCCCACCAAGAGCTGTGTTTGTTTGCTGCTGGCCTTGGAGTAACACCACTACACCCAGATGAGAGCCAGGAGCAGGCACGGCATCACGGCGGGGGGCTGGGCTAGATCAGGCACAGGGGTGCATGGGAATGGCCAGGAACACAAAGCACGGTGTGACTGCTGCTCTCTGTGTGCAGGATGGAGTGTCTCTCGAAGATCTCAGACATTAGGGAAGCACGCTACAAACACACCATCAAGTTCAACGTCAAGATGCTGGAGCTGAAGTGTGCCCTTCAGCAGGAGATCAAGCGGAAAAATTTCTTTGTCACCAAACGTACAGATCTGTCCGAACTGAAGGAAAAGGCCAAACACAGAGAAGGTACCAGAGGAGGGAGAATATGTGTAACTGGGACCACAAACCCAAAGTTCACAAAGTTGGAGGGGGGCTGGTTATGGTGGTTTACAGCACTGCACCCCAAAGGCAGGACCTCTGCCCTGCCTGCAGGCTCCCTAACCCAACCTTCACCCTACAAGGGAAAGGGCTGAACAGTGATAACTGGGTGAGGTCACCCAGCACTGAGGGCCTTGGGGTGCCCTTGGGGACCTGCTCCTCTTGCAGCCATGGCTCCCTTTGTCATGTTTTGGGTTGGTTTGGATTGGAAGGGACTTTAAAGCCCATCTCATTCCACCCCCTGCCACAGGCATGGACAATTTACACTCACTCAGGTTGCTCCAAACCCCATCCAAGCTGGTCTTGGACATTTCTTCTGCCACAGCTTCTCTGGACAACTTGTGCCAGGGCCTCACTACCCTCACAAGGAAGAATTTCTTCCTAAAATCTAATCTAATCTAATCTAATGTGCTCATTTTATCCTCCTGATAAGGGGTCCCACTGTGTTTGCTCCATTCCCTTGAGAACATTGCGCTCCCTGCTTAGTTTCTGTGTGAAATAAAGACACCCTCTGGCCTTTTGGGGAGCACCACAGCAAACCCCCCAGCACTGCAGGGAGGGCTCTGCGAAGGACAGCCGGGGCTCTGTGTCTCTCTCAGCTTTGAAGGCAGCTGAGTGGGCCAAGCAGAGCCAGGCAGAGAGTCACGAGGTGGCCCACAAGCGCCTGCTGGAGATGTCGGACGGAGAGATTGAGCAGTTCTTGGATGAGTTCGTAGAAAAGAGAAGGAGATTCTTCATCCTCTTCGCCTATGGCATCAGGCAGAACTCTGAGAATGAGGGCAAGAGACAGAGGATCAAGCACATTCAGGTCTGTTCCAGGCTCTTCATGTCTCCCTTTTCCACGCAGCGCTTTTGGCCTGGAGTGGGTTTGTCCTCTCCCGAGTGTCCAGCATCGCTGCCCACAGCAGAGCCTGGCTGGCTGGCTCCCACGCGGGTGGGATTTCGGGGATGCAAAGGAGTAGCCAAAAATAGAATTCCCAACGCCGTGTTCTCAGAACTAAACGTGTCTCAATGCTGCCACCGTGTACCCAGGAAAAATACTGCAGCATCCAGGACAGCCAAGGGGCTTCCTTGAAGTGTGTGGCGCTGGCTGGAATGAAAAGTGGGGACATCCATGCCCTGCCCTCCTGGCCTGGGGACAGTGGTCCCCAGAGGAGTCAAGAGGGATGTCCCTGCTCCCAGGGCAGAGGGGTGTCCTCAGTCTCTGTTTGGCATGCCTGGTGAGCATTCCATCAGCACCCCTTCCATGTGCTTGTGTTTGCACAGGATGATATGACAGCCACCGTGGCGGAGCGGGAAGAGGAGACGAGGGCCTGGTTCCATGTCATGCGGGAGCTGGAGGTATGGCAGCCATGAATTCCCTCTGGAAGAGCCACAAATCCCTGTCTGTCCCAGCACTTGTACCAGGGAGTCTGGTCCTGTCAGCACTGCTCTGGCAAGTGGCTGGAGAGGTGTGGGTAGAAAGGGGCCCTGCAAAGGTTTTGGCAGC